GAACCCTTTCTTTTGCAAAGAGCGGGTGCAACAATCACATTTGATGGATATTCCAGAGAACATCGTGTCCACCGTGGAACGGTCAGACCAAAGTTAGGATTTTCTAAACATGGAGATGAAACGCAAAGAAAATGGTGGGTAGGAAAAACTTGAAAGCACTAGAAAGCGATGCCTGTTAATGCAGAAAGATTCAGTGGCAGCACCTGCTGTACTAACAGCAGGGAGACCCCACCATTCAGCAGGCCAGTGCGCCCCGGCACACCACAAAAACATCTCGAAGATTGCAATAGAGAAGCCGCTGCACTGATCCTTCCAGTCGAACAAGATCCTCTGGAACACGTCTGATGCACAGAAGTATATGCTGAAAACTGCAGGATCCAGGAGATCTGCTGCTAATGAGCTACATATTACTGGGCAGATGGTTTTAACACTGAGGTCGATGGGCGTACATATATAGAAATTCATGCTGTTTGCTAAAGTCTAGCCATTATTGTTTTAATCTGTGCAATCCAAAGGTCAATTTGGGTCACCAAAGGTTACTAAAACATTAGAGCATGTGTGACAGGCTAATAATAAAGGCTAGCTGTAGGGGACAATTTGATGCATCATCCGCCAATAGGAACTCATTAGTCATCAAGATGTAGCCCGCTGAAAGACTACAAATTTAATAAAATTCAATAAAAAACAGTTTGGAATGAGAGATAATTCTGAAAATAAGTGCACGGTTGTTCAGGGATGAAATTTCTTTAATATAGGTGCACGACTGTTATATGTATGTATGTAAAAGAAAAGAGGCCAATTTTCTCACCAATTCATTAAACCTCCAGATTGATTTAACGATTGAAGTGCTGAGACTAACTGCGTTCAAGAACTGTGTTCATGGCAAATCTAATGGAAGAATATCAAGAGAAGAGGTAGCTGCTTCAGTTCAGAATAATTATGTTGCAATGACACTGCAGTAATGTAATGATACTGTAGTAAAACATTCAGTGGAGCACAGTTTTACAGGGTGATGAACAGGCCACAAGTAGGTGGGTTTGAATGAATGTGCTATTAATACCAGCTGTCCCTCCATATTATCACAGCATACTCAATTACCTCTCCAGAAACAACATCCAGTCTTGCTAAATCATGTGAAGCTTTGCAAACTGTCCAGACAATAACACGTGTTCCATTTTTATTCAGTCAAACCTGCAAAAATGATGTATACTATATATACTACTACTACTATTTACCACTGCAATCCCACAGCTTCCTCACCTTTCTCACCGGTGCACGGACAAGCATCTATTTATCGTAGTTCTGGCCTTTTGAACCTTTTGGCTTTTTAAAATCCTTTTTGTGTGCGATTTTGCAGCAGCCGAAGTGCAAAATAACACTAAATAACACTGACTTATACCAACTTTTGCCACACAATGCAGCTGTGTCTCTGAAAATAGAATTAGGAGAAATCCTCACAGTCGCAAGCAAAAAAAAGCTGGATCTCTGAAGATGAAAGAAAACCCTGCTTTTTGAATGCTTCCAGAGATACATGAATCTACTGAAAATTCCCCTTTGATATCAGGTAAAGACAGCCTTATGAAGCCAGCAGTAAAATACATTGACTTTTTCATTAAACCTTTCTTATCTTTATTACCTGCTTTTGTTCAGGACGCTACCAGCATGCTTAACAAGCTCAAACAACTGGAAAACACTCACACACATACAGACAATTTCAAAACCATGCACATTAAGTAATTGTACACAATTATAGATCATGTGCAGGGCCCAGCAGCACTCGGCTACTTTTTTGGTGGTCGCCATAATCCCATGACAATTAGGAGTGATGGATGTTCATCCGAGGTAAGCACATTATTTTTCAAAGCAACAATAGACCTAATCTTAAGCTATCTTTAGATAACAGCAAGGAGAGAATACAGCACTTACATCTTACCATCTTTGTACACATCTGTATTTAGAGTTTTCATCCAAAGTGGCTGGAGGAAAATGCCTCTTACGGTCAGTTCCATGGAAAATTTGCAACGTGGGTACAGAAATAACAGAAACTAACCTACAAAGAAATGTTCCCGAACCAACAGAAAGAATGTTATAAATTGGCACAAAGTGGGGGTATGATTGAAAAAGATGATGTATTGATCCAGATCTTACCTGACCCACCAGTTTTAGCAGGTCTTTGACTCTACAAGATGAACAGCTACACAGCTATCATGATTGGGTCTAACACCTAGGGGAGGGGTCCTACAAGTGCAATCAATGAAGTCGTTGCACAGACAGATCTCCATCTGTGCCAGATGGAGATCTGTTGTTTTCTCAAAAGGAGTTTACTATTAATCATTTCAGTTACTGCAAAACCTCATCGATCATCTATAGGCTAGAATGTCCCAGCTGCAAAGTTGTTTACACGGGAAAAAAATGAGACATTTACAGGAGAGCAGAGCACAAACACTCCACATGCACGGGCAATATTAGTTAGCCCATGGCTAGACACTACCTGGACCTCCATATTAGTAACCCATCTATACTGTAGGCCTTTGGAAGTGATTACATCATTCTTTCCATACAAAGATGTGACACATAAAGGAGACTTAACCAAAAGGAAGCTTTCTGATTTTATAAATTACAGGCCTGGGTTAAATGACGACTTAGATTTTACTGTTTTATTCAATCTTATTTGAATCTTATTCAATTTAAATAGTTAGATTGACTAAGATTCAAGTTACACTCATGGTATTATAGCAGTATAATACAATTACACTAGTGATTTGCATTCGTATTCTTCTGAGCTTCAACACCTGGCTTAGGTTTTTAAGTTTGCCATTAGTGAAATCCCCCCAAAAAGGAACTGTTTCCATGAAATCTGTTCCCTGGTGAATGCCTGTATGCTGAAATGGAAAGGAGCTTTTTCAATCTGAATTAAACATGGCCAAGCCGTGAGAGTAAAAGTACTTTGAATGTTATTTAAAGATGAGAGTACCTTGAAGTGCTTTGATTTTTAAGCTAAATTGCACTGCTGGCTTTAACCTGGCCAGAATGTAAGATCCCGATAAAAGAAATACATGTGAAATGCAGTTATTCTGTTTCATGCTTCTTTTCTTCTAATGTGCTGAAATCCACAAGGAAAACAAAAACTCTCTGTACGGTCCAGCTGCTAAGAATTAAAAATATGACACTAATAATACATTAGAAAAACATTAGTAGCACCAGCAGTCAAGTCCTTCTGGAGAGAGGTGATTAATTCAATAACCACTATAATGAACACAAAAATCTCCCAGGCCTCCTGTTTACTTGGTGAAGTGCTGGGCTGCTGAGGTTTAAAGGCTTCTCCTTTTTTTAACTGCAAAATGACTGCTGACAATTTGTGAGTCAGACTGTTTTGAAGCAGATGAATTAGACGTTGATTGTGGTCCTGAATTGATTTCAGATTCGAGATCAAGCAAAGAATTGCCCGTTAACATCCCAAATTACAATTACTTACCAAGTACTTGGTATGCTTGGATAATCAAGCGTAGGTAAGAATTCTGATTGGATGCAAAAGCAGCTTTATATGGATTGAACTTTTAGACATTTTAGTAAATGTGAGCTCAGAGGCATCATGAAAGAGGCTTATTATGCTTGTCCTTATTTTCTGTCACATATACTATATATACATACATGGGGATGCTCAGGCTGCTCTACACTCTCGGTTCCAGACAGTTCTGTCTAGTCTTGACTCTGTATGTCGGTGAGCACAGAAGCCTGTTGTTCAAACCTTCTGTTTGGGAGGGGCAGCCAATTAGAAAACAGCCACTTTTAAGGTTGAGTGAGAGAAGCTAAAGTAGTCTGTTTCAGAGAGCAAATGAACCGAGCCTTAGTATAAGGTCATTAATGATTATTTAGAACGATGAATCATGTAAATATAATCTAGTAGAGTCATTTTGTCTCAAATCAAACAAGCCTTCTGCTCGACAATCGCCGATTTGGATGACAATTTTACAGCAGAACATTTGAACATTTATGATGGTAGCTGTGAAATTTTAGTTTCATATATCAAATATTTTCAAGATACATTTGGTTTGAAAAATATCCGTTGACCCAATTTTTTTTTCTTTTTTTTTTTGAAAATGAATATATCAGAAACTATTAGAGACAAAAGCCTGACATTTTCATTGGTCTTTCTTACCATCAAAATGAATCAGAATCTGTAATTTGGGAGAGATGCATGAAAAAAAAAAAAGTACTGGCTAGGTAAAATGTGAAGAAAAAGGCCTGCACAGTCCTGCAAAGACTCAATTTTGAGCACACACTATAACCCCCCCCCCTGCAAATTCGACATGGTGTATTACAAAATGCTGTATTACAGCATGGTGTATTACAAAATAAAGCATGTAGAATCTTTTTAATGTGAAATTCACAGGCACATAGATGAAGAAAAAGTCGTTTTCAGTCAGCGTCCATGTTGGATTGAACGAATATGATAAGTTGTGCCACAAAAACAAAAGTATCAGTAGACTGCTCGGTCCAAACAGAGGAAAATACTGGAGGTACTCTTATTATAACTAAGAAAATTACACATTATATATGCTTAATAACGTTTTGAAGTTAAGACTATTAGCAAAGTAGGATATTGACTAGATATTTACCTGAATCAGAGAACTGTGACACGTAATTGCTCCTCTGAGTTAAGCAAAACCTCTATCATTAATACTATCTCCATCATTATCTAACAGTAGGCTGCAATGCTCTCAAGTTTTCCAATTTTCAAGTTTACAACACTACATTTAATTCGTCTTAAATCTTTTAAATTTTTCTCACGTGCAGTTGTGTTTATGATTTTGCAGGTGATTAAAATGATACGTGGCTGCGCTGACTCTTTACACACCAAATGTGTTTGAGGATGGGTTTAGCAAACTAAATATACCCTCTGCAAAAATAAAATTGTGGAAAAAAACACCACAAAAGAAGGAATATCAGTAGCACAATTTGAAGTTGTTGTATACTTGGGTTTATATGTCTGAACTCACCGCTGTCCACCATGTTCCCGGGTTGTCCAGGCCACAGTTGTCGCTGTACTCCAGGCAGCAGGAGTCTGGCACGCGGCTGGCGTTGTAAACCTCAAACCAGTCTGTGTGGTTGGTCACTCCACAGCAACGAAACTGCGCCGGGAGAAAAACAATGAGCCTTCAGAGTCTGACCTTTTGTTATCATCACACTGAAATCCTAATTCACGGCAAAAGAAATATACATCCTCCAGTGATGGGCACGAAAGCTGTTTACCTCGCACGAATTAAAATTCCTTGGGTAAAATAACCGATATGTGCTGAGCATATAAAACACCTCATCCGCCTGATATTGAGCTGTAGCCGTCTCAAAGCCTTAAAATAACTTTCTAACTCGCCCCACTTTTCTTTTAAATAAATATTTCCCCGCTTTGAGATTGGTATAGATTTTTTTTATATAAGGCATCGTGGCTTTCACCACAATTCATTTCATCAGTGTAGTTGAAAAGATTAAATGCCTCTGAAAGAGATTTTTTTTTTTCATCTGGTGGACTTAAATTCCACAGGGGAATAATGCTGTCTGCGTGGGCACAGTTGGGGATTTTGTGTTAATTTAAAACTTACTCACTTCCTTAAACAATGGAAGCACTAACATGAGGTACTACAGAATTCAAATCACCAGAGAGAGCTGGGAAATAAAGATGTAAACTTCGGTCAGAACACACAGTCAGAATATTCAGATGTTATCACCTTGGAAAGTTAACGACCAAATGTGCGCAGCCAGTACAGATTTATTATACCGAGGATTCATTTAGTGCCTTTTGGAGCTCTTTCCTGCTCTGTCTAAGGTAGATCTACGTCTACATGCATGCATACATAGCTCCATAGGTGGCCATTAATAATATTCAGGGTGAACTTTGCTCCAGGGACATCTGCTGCATTATCCATTCAGTGAGTCAGCATATATGTAAGAGGCTTGGGAGGGAGTGACAGAATGAGAGCTGCCGTATAATGATCTTCATCTCAGCCAGACTCTGTGGAGACCCATACATACACACAGCGGCTGATCTGACAAAGGTGTGTGTGGGGGGGAAATGCACGTTCACGCTCGTGCTCTAGCATTTTCAGGCAGCGGTTCATTCAGGCAGATTCTTCTTATGGCATGATCCAGCGTGCAGGAAGAAAATCAAATGTGCGCATTTACGTATAAACACACCTGGATTTGCATACAGTATTTGCATAGCAATAGATTTCTTTGTCATCATTTATGTCTTATCAGTCACCACGCACACACACATTCACAGGTAAACACGCACTAGACACACGTATACACACCAACACAGAGCAGAGCCAAACAACCAGCATGCACCGCACATTTACTAATGGTACAAAACTACAAGCCATAACACAGGATCTGTGATGTAAAAAAAGAAGGTCCAAAGAGCCCCTAAGTCTGCGATCTATCATTTGATGTCTCCCAAACGCATTTTCTAACAGCAGCATCCGTCCTCTGCAATCCTTAATTCCAAATCTGTGTTTTTCACATTGTGTTTTCTTTGGAGAGATATATAGAGGAAGAAAACACATATATATATAAATATTGCAACAGGAAAATGCACATCAAAGTGAGAGCTGGAGACAAAGATTACCTCCGAGGGTCTATGATGTTTGCATTAATCTCTCTGAAAACATTTTACCACAGCATTTAAACCAGGAACGCTTTAAGTGTTTATTACTGTCAGTAGAGTCATTTCAAGACACGTCTTCTGGTGCCATTTCTCAGATTGGTGGTGTTTCTTTTATTAGCCGACTTATAAATGTCCAGATCCTATTAACGGCTTGTAAGGAAGAGGACTCCCTTACTGCATTTATTTATATTGTATTGTCTGTATAGCACTTTAGAGCACACCTTTCACTTTATTAAAAGCACCTTATCAAGCAATTTATGAGCATTGCACTTTAAGCATGGATTTGCACACAAGAAGTTTAAATATTTATTGTCTATTTATTGGGAATTTTAAAATCAGTTGGTAGCCTTATTTCAGATCCTGCACAGCTGCTCCTCGTCAAGGAATGTGGTGGTTGTCTGTCAGGAGAGAAGAATGGTGATTGAGATTGTGATTAAGGTTTACCAATAAGGAAAACTAATGCAAATGTGTGTGTGAAATCTAGGGAAAAGTGTTGCAAATAAGTGTTTGTAAGTTACTGATTACTCACCTTTCTTGCCTGTGTCCTCTTCAAGGTGTTTGGGCAAATGTTTCCCCGGGGGTCCAGACACCATTTAAAGGTTCCGGGAGAGACCATTGGTAAAGAGAGTGTGGTGAATCTTTTTGTGCTTGGGTTTCTGGGTTTTTATAATATTGGGTTTTGTGTAACATTAAAGTGTGAAATATTTATTAATATGTAAATGTAAAGATGCATTTATGTATTTATTTATTCTTATTGATATATTGTATACTGTGGGGGAAGGTTGGGATTTAAGAATTTACCTGAGAGTGGAATAATGGTTAAGTCTGTGACAGCTGAACATATTTAAGGCTGCCAGTTGTCATTAGGGGATTTTTGTGCTGTGAAGAAGCTCGACAAGTTAATTGTTGTAAGGAGCGCCATAGAGCAAATAAATACTTTGTTCCACTACACTTGCCTTGGTCTGTCTCACTGTGTTTCCAGCCGCTAAGGGCTGCCCTGTTACAAGTGGTGTCAGAAGTGTGTCACTCATGCCACAGTGAGAAGATGATGACAAGAGGTGGAAGAAAGCCAGGCCAAGAGGAGCAGCCTGATGAAGGAGTTGGAGCTTCATCTGAGCTAGAGGCCATGGCAGCAACAAGCCTGAGGACAAATTGGAGGAGTTAACAGGGTTGGTGAAATCTCTTATGCGGTCTCAAGCAGCCAGAGACCAAAAGTGGGAGAAGGATTTGTCACGTCAGGAGCAAAGGTGGAAAGGCATGCAGCATCAATTTCAGCAAATCCAGCTACAAGTTAACGCTGTAACTGATAAGCCTGACCCACCAGAGGCGCCAGCGCCCCCTACAACATCTGAAGAACAAGAACTTGGATTCAATGGTGAAGACATTCCAGTGGCCAGTGGGTCCAGGTCTTTAATTGAACCAAAACTTTTTCCTCTGTCAACAGAAGATGACATTGAACATTTTCTGACTACGTTTGAAAGAATGGCAAACGTGTGTCGATGGCCCAGAGATGAGTGGGCTATTCGTCTGGCTCCCCTGTTGACAGGTAAAGCCCGCACAGCCTACATTCTTATGGATTTAACAGACTCTGAGAATTATGATAAGGTGAAAGAGGCAATTCTGGCAAAATATGAGATCACTGCTGACACCTACAGACGCCGCTTCAGATCTCTGACAGTTGAGCCAGGTGAGATGCCACGTGAACTTTATGTAAGATTGAAAGACCTGTTTTCAAGATGGATTAAACCTAAAAAATCAACTGTAGAAGAAATATCTGAGCAGATAATTCTGGAGCAGTTTTTGAGAATGGTTAATCCAGAGCTGGAGATTTGGATACGTGAGCATGACCCGAAGACTGCAAAGGAAGCAGCTAGCCTCGCAGAGGTTTTCACTTCAGCCAGAAAAGGAAGCAAGAGCACCTACTTCAGCCGGGAGACCCACTACGCCCAACCAAGTAAGTCCATTGGGGGTGAACAGGGTTCTGGTCAAGTTCAGGCTAGAAATCTTTCTAGTTCTAGGCAGCTCCCTTCCCATAGACCTCACAATGTGAAGAAATCCTTTAAGTCTTCAGTTCAGGATATTAAATGTTATCACTGTCATAACTTTGGCCATACACAACAATTTTGCCCTGCACTTAAGTCAAAACCATCTCTTTTGTGTGCAGTTCCAAGACCAGCCACAGAGCCAGTAGGAAAGAAAGCTTGTACTGTCCCTGTTTTAATTAATGGGCGTAAAGAGGAAGCTTTGCTTGACTCTGGGTGCTTTCAGACTCTTGTACACTCTAGCATAATTTCAGGAGAAAAGCTAAGTGGGGTTGGGGCTACAATAAGTTGTGTGCATGGAGACGAACACAGGTACCCCACTGCTGAGGTTTACCTGACAGTAGGAGGTCAAACCTACTTGTTAGTGGTAGCTGTGGTTCCCAGTTTGCCATATTCAGTGATACTTGGTAATGACATCCCCACTCTTTTTGATCTAATACACCAGTCAGATTATGACCCTCAAGTGAGTGCTGAGAAAGACATTCAAGGCTTAGGTGATGAATCTGGAAGCTCACTTCCTCTAGAGATGACAGTTGAACCATTTAAACCCTGTCATGTAGTCACAAGAGCACAAAGTGCAAAGGAAAGGATGCAAGAACTACCCTTTTTTGAGGAGTCTCTCGAAACGGAGCCAGGGAAGATTAGGAAGTCTAGGGCTCAGAAAAGAAGAGAAAAGTTCAAAGGCTCAGGGGAAAAAGGTATAGCATTGTTCCCTAAGCCAAATAACCAACTTGAGTTTGATGTTCCCTCAGATTTAGGTGCACTCCAAAGAAGCGACCCTACTCTAAAACCCTGGTTTGAGAAGGTAACAGAGGTAGAGGGGGTTAGTCAAGGTCAGGTAAGCTGTCTTGCAGACACTGTTTACTTGATTAAAGGAGGCATCTTGTACCAGAGAAAGGGGAAGTGCGAAGCTGTGGCACTCCCACAACAGTTCAGAGACAAAGTTATGGATTTGGGTCATTCAATTCCATGGGCAGGTCATATGGCTTTTCACAAAACACTGAATAGGATCAGCAGCCGTTTTGTTTGGCCAGGGATGTATGTCCAGGTTTCTGAGTTTTGCCATTCCTGTGAAAAATGTCAGTTGACCTCAGGCAAAGGAGTAGCGCGAGCCCAGTTGCAACCACTGCCAATTATTGAAACACCATTTGAGAGGCTAGGCATGGATATTGTGGGCCCTTTAGAGAGGAGCTCCACAGGTAATCGCTACATATTAGTCATATGTGACTATGCAACACGGTTTCCTGAGGCCTTCCCACTCAGATCAATTAAAGCTCGTCACATTGCTAATTGTCTTCTGCAGCTTTTCTCTAGGGTAGGCATACCAAGAGAAATTCTGACGGACTGTGGAACGAACTTTCTATCAAAGTTGTTGCAGCAGGTTTATAAGCTGTTAGGGATAAAGGGACTTAAGACCACCCCGTATCACCCCCAAACGGATGGGCTAGTGGAGAGATCCAACCAGACTCTCAAAAGTATGCTGCGCAAGTTTGTCTCTGACACAGGTGCTGACTGGGATCAATGGCTGCCCTACCTTCTGTTTCGCCTACCGGGAGGTCCCGCAGGTTTCCACTGGCTTCTCGCCTTTTGAACTTTTATACGGTCACCAAGTGAGAGGCCCCCTGGATCTGCTTAAGGACTGCTGGGAGGAATCCAAAGCAGAAGGCGAAAACATCGCAGCCTACGTCATCACCATGAGAGAGAGGTTGGAGAAAATGGCATCATTGATGCAAGACAACATGAAAGCTGCACAAAAACATCAAAAGACTTGGTATGATCAGAAGGCCAGGGATAGGGTCTTCCTTCCAGGTCAGAAAGTACTGTTATTGCTTCCCACCAGCGATAACAAGTTGCTGACAAAATGCCATGGACCATACGAGATCGTCAGACAAGTGAGTAAAGTCACTTATGAGCTGAATAGCCAGAAAGGGTTAAAAAATATCAGACATTTCACGTGAACTTGTTGAAGGAATTCCACAGCCGACAAGAGCCGGTCTATCAGTTACTGGTGCGTTCGGTTAAGGATGAGGAGGTGACTGAGAAGTTCTTTCCAACTAACATTCAAGTTTGTGCTTCAGTTGACCTTTCTCATTTGTCTCCTACTGAGCAGGCTGATATAAAACCACTCGTGGACCCACAGCTCTTTCGAGAAACACCAGGCTTCACATCACTGGTTCAGCATAAGATACGGGTGAAGGAGGATGCACCCGTTCGACAAAAGAGTTACAGAATTCCTGAACGGTTGGTGCCAGTGCTGCAGAAGAAATAAACTGATGTTGGACCTGGGAATCATTGAGGTGTCAAGTAGTGAGTGGTGCAGCCCGATTGTTTTGGTACCAAAGAAAGATGAACCCTGAGATTCTGTATTGATTTCAGATATTTGAATGCAGTATCCAAGTTTGATCCCTACCCAATGCCCAGGGTGGATGACCTGCTGGAGAGAGTTGGATCAGCAACGTACATTACAACACTTGATTTGTGTAAAGGATACTGGCAAGTGGCTTTGGCACCAGAAGCAAGAGAGCTGACAGCCTTCAAAACTCCGTTTGGTATGTACCAATTTAAGTCATGCCATTTGGTCTTCAAGGTGCACCAGCGACATTCCAACGATTAATGGACCATGTACTGAGAGATGTGTCAGCATTCTCTGCAGCATATCTGGATGACGTGGTGGTGTACAGCCAGTCCTGGGAAGCGCATGTCATTCACCTACAGAAGGTGCTACACTCCATCAGAATGGCTGGACTGACTATCAATCCCAAGAAGTGCTCCATAGCCAAGAGAGAAGTGGAGTACTTGGGCTGTGTAGTTGGCTCTGGGAAGATAAAGCCGCAGGTTGGAAAGATTGAAGCAATTCAGTCCTTCCCAGTTCCGACAACTAAAAGGAAGGTGAGAGGTTTTCTGGGTCTAGTAGGCTGGTACCGGAAATTCATACCTTCTTTTGCAGAGCGATCCACTGTACTTAATAACCTCACAAAGGCTCAGCCCCTAACAAAGTGCGTTGGACGGAAGACTGTGAGCGAGCATTCAGAGACCTCAAGGAAGCAGTTTCCACACATCCAGTTCTACACAGTCCAGACTTCAACAAGCCATTCATCTTGCAAACTGATGCTTCGGGAGTTGGCCTTGGTGCTGTCCTTCAGCAAGAGGTGGATGGTGAAAGAAGCCTGTGGTGTTTCTGAGTCGGAAACTACTCGACAGGGAGACGAGGTACTCGACGGTGGAGAAGAGTGCTTGGCCATGAAATGGGCTATTGAGGCCTTGAGGTATTATCTTCTGGGACGTCACTTCACTCTGGAGACTGATCATCGTGCCTCCAGTGGTTGAACCGCATGAGGGATGCGAATGCCCGCATTGCAGGATGGTACCTGTCTCTGCAGCCTTATGACTTTACGGTCCAGTATAGGCGGGGAAGTCAAATGTGGTTGCTGATTGTTTATCTAGGATGACAGAGGACTGAAGCACTTCGCGCTTAAGAGAGGGAGGAGGAAATGTAAGGAAGAGGACTCCCTTACTGCATTTATTTATATTGTATTGTCTGTATAGCACTTTAGAGCACACCTTTCACTTTATTAAAAGCACCTTATCAAGCACTTTATGAGCATTGCACTTTAAGCATGGATTTGCACACAAGAAGTTTAAATATTTATTGACTATTTATTGGGAATTTTAAAATCAGTTGGTGGCCTTGTTTCAGATCCTGCACAGCTGCTCCTCATCAAAGGAATGTGGTGGTTGTCTGTCAGGAGAGAAGAATGGTGATTGAGATTGTGATTAAGGTTTACCAATAAGGAAAACTAATGCAAATGTGTGTGTGAAATCTAGGGAAAAGTGTTGCAATAAGTGTTTGTAAGTTAATGATTACTCACCTTTCTTGCCTGTGTCCTCTTCAAGGTGTTTGGGCAAATGTTTCCCGGGGGTCCAGACACCATTTAAAGGTTCCGGGAGAGACCATGGTAAAGAGTGTGGTGAATCTTTTTGTGCTTGGGTTTCTGGGTTTTTATAATATTGGGTTTGTGTAACATTAAAGTGTGAAATATTTATTAATATGTAAATGTGAAATGTATTTATGTATTTATTTATTCT